GGGGGGGGGGGGGGATTGGGTGCTTCACTTACAAGAGGAAGTCCTGCTCCCAAGACGGCCGGGCCCCACGAACAGCAACCGTGGTGCTCTTGACATTTTGCACCTTCAGTGTTACATAAGTGTTGAATTTATCTGGAGAGAGAGAGAGAGACATTTTTGTTCTTTCTTTCACGAGACACAAATACCGGCCACTCTTTGCCAACAGAAAACTGCCCCTCCTCCCCAGAATTTGACAAACGGGCCTTCAGGAGGACAACGGTGGTTAAAATTGCGGCCAGCTTTTCCCCCTGGACCTGAACTGTCAGAAAGAGTTTGTGTGGATTAGAATAGCAGAGTTGGAAGGGACCTTGGAGGTCTTCTAGTCCAACCCCCTGCCTTTAGGGATTGGGGAAGGCTGAGAAAGCCCCGAGGAGAGGCAACCACCGGATCCAACAGAACCAGGTCAATTTAATCGGGTCTCCAACCTTCCCTTTGGGCAGCTGGTCTGCAGGAAACGGATCATCCGAACCAGAGTGACCCAAAGCAGAGCTCAGAGAGCTGCCCCACGAGAGGAGAGGCCAGCATCCCCCCGATTCCAGATCCTGCCCCTGTCAGGGAGACCCACCGGATCTAAAGGTTGTCCCAGTGGCCGCCTTCAAATCTGCCCCAAGGAAGGAAGGCCGAAGTCCTCGAGGGCCACAGGCACCAAGAGGCCCCCTGCGCTCCCCGGCTGGCTCAGGCTGGGGGTGGGGTGGGGGCTCCCCTGCTCAGGGAGGCTGGTCCCCCCCCCCCCCCCCCGCAGGCCAACTTCCTGAATGGGGTCTGCAGACCAGCCACCCGGGAGGCCACCAGGGCCTTGTGACTGACAGCCCAGGGCGCATGTCACCCCCCCCGACCCAGCCGGGCACGTCTCCAGGGTGGGAACCTTCTCCTCAAATGCCCAGCCTGGTTTTGAGAAGACGAGCCAGGGCAGCCCTCTCTTCCATGGGCTGGAGGTCTCCGGGGCCTCCTTTTGGCCCGAGACGTTGACACCCAGGCCCACCTGGCTCTTTCACAGCTGAGGGGGCGAGGGAAGGGGCCCTGGGCCCCTCCTCAAGGGAGCTTTAAGGAAGCCTGAGCATTCGGTCTCTGGGAGCTTTGGCCCGGGTGAAGCTCTGGTTGGCTAAACCCGTTGGCTGCTGCCAGGCCTTCAGAGGAAGGGGCACGGGAAACAGGCAACGAGGCAGAGCAGGCCATCCTCCCCCCCACCCCAAGGGCCTTCTGGAAGGGGCACCCCGACTGGAGGGCGGCCCCACTTCCAGAGGAGGAGGCTCCCAGAGGGCCCCAAAGGGGAGAAGGCAGGAAGAGCCTGCCTGTGGGTACAGGAGGGAGCCCAGGCGGGAAGACCATCCCCCAAGGCAGGGAGAGCAGCTAACACCCCCACCCACCCCCCGAAGCCAACGTGCACCTACCTGGGGGTCCCTGGAGCTCTGCTTTCTTCACTGGGGAAAAAAGAAGAAGAAAAAGAGGAGGAAGAGAGCAGAAGGTCATTATTCCAGGGTTACTCTCGGGGTGCTGGATGTTGGGAGGGGGCAGGAAGGAGGAAGAAACCCCCCAGCCCACCCCCCAGGCTATTCTCCGGACTCATCACTCCTGGCGATGAGGCTCCGTCCAGGAAAAGGGGGGCCTAGCCTGGTTGGGAAAGAAGGGGACTTCAGGGGAACCTTAGAGACCTGGGGGGGGGGGGGGGGAGAATATACATGGGGTTTATAACCGCGGCTAAGAAGATGGGAAACCATTTCTTTATTATTCCTTCTTTTCCTTTGCTTCTGTTTCATTGCTTTCTCTATTATTTCTCTTACCTTTCACTTAAAATGTGTATTGTTTTTACTCTGTGGGAAAACCACCTGAATACAAATCTCAGACATACGTGGGGATAGAAAAACGGGGGACAGACAAACCCCAGGAACGGCTCCAGAGGGGCCTGGATGAAATTACCCTGGGATTCCAGCAGGGGGAGCTGCAACTTCCCTAACAGGCAGGACCCCCCCCCCCCCCCCCCCCAAACATAGTGAGGTCCCAGGTGTGTGACCCAGGGTGGGATACAAAAGCAACAAAGTCGCAAAAACAGGTGAAGTCCCTTTAATTCCTTCAATTTGGCTTCAAAGCCCCGATTATCATTGACTGGGGAAAAAACTCCCCCACAAACAGTTGCGAAAAGAAATGTGGTTTAAACTCAAAATACATACAAATTATAAATATGAAAAACAACAACAGGCAGGATAAGGGCTTGAAGACGTCCACTGCAACCCATGAAGGGGATCAAGGCCCTTTCCTCCCCCGTAGACCACACCACCTAGGTTTCTCCCTTATCCACTCCTCCCTGCATGCCCTGGGATGAAGAGGGGGTGGGCCTGGGTCTTCCTCTGAATGCCCAGCCAGCCTGTGCCCTTCCCCAGTTTCCTCCCCAAACACTCCCACTCCCTGTCCTCCAAGTCAGACTCTAACAGGGGCATGACCCCAGGTGAGGAACAGCCTTTTCTGACCGAGGGGCCTCTTGGGCCCCACACAAAGGCCGCCAAAGAGCAATCCTGGTCCAGCAAGAAGGGTGGGGAAGGGCAGGAGGCAGCCCCCCCCCCCAGGCCAAGGGTCTGACCTCCTCCAGCTCCAGGGCTCGCTAGCCATCTCCCAGGCCCCTGAAAAGCCAGGGAGCCTCCTCCTCCCTTCCTCGGCTAAGACGTTTCTCTGGCAGGGGTCGCCTCTTGCCCTGGGGTGGGACGGCTGCTGTGGGGCCTGGGGGGAGGCAGCGTCCCACCCCTTGCTGGCCCAGGGCACATTCAGGCCAGCAGGAGAGGCGGGGAGGGGGGGTGCCTGGAGGACAGCCAGACCCTCTAGAGAGCTCAGCTCCAGATGTGCGCCTCCCCAGCACCCTCCAGTCCCTGACAAGCCTTCCTGATCGGCTTAAACCCAGAGCCCTCTAATCCCCAGCCTCCTGCTGCACACACACACACACACACACACACACACACACACACACACACATACGCGGGGAGGAATTGGCAGGCGCCAGGAGTGCATCAGGTGGCAAGCGCTGCTGCACCTGGTGTCATTCCAGGTAGGCTGGCAGGATCAATCCCCCCCCCCCGGGCACAGTGGAGGGGCGGGGAGGAAGGGCGGGACCCGTGGCCTGGGAGGGGAGCTTGGCAGAGCCACCAGGGAGGAGGGGGGAAGAAGCCCGCCAGGGTGTCACCAGGCTGCCAGAGGGAGGAGTGCAGCCCCCTCGGGACAGAGCCGGTGAGCCGCAAAGCTCCAGGGCGTTTAAGGAAGAGGCCGGCCAGGGCCCCATCATGGCAACCGTGTGTGGCCTGGCGTGTTCGGAGGGCCCCAGCTTGGGGAAACGGAAACAGAAGGCCTGGCAACACAAGAAGGCTCGTGCCAACTGCTGCTGGCGAAGGGAGGTGCCAGGGCAGAGCAGGCTGCAGCCTGGACCCTCTGCGCCCCTCAGTGCCACCTCCGGACCTGCCCCATCACCATTCTCCACCCCACGGCTCTTCTGCGGGGGACAATGAGCAGGAGGGGCTGCTGGGCATCCAACCTGTCCCATTTGCTGCCGGAAGGGAGGGAGGGAGGGAGGGAGGGAGGGAGGGAGGAAGGGAGGGAAGGAAGGAAGGAAGGGAGGGAGGGAAGGGAGGGAGGACTTGCCCAAGAGATTCTGCCTGGAGCCGGGTGGAGAAGCTCCACTGCGCAGCCTTGTCTGCCTGCTGCCCTCAGCCAGAGCCTTGGCCACCCTGCCAGCTGCGCAGCGTCTCCTGGAGTTCGGATGCATTTAATAAACATTTTCTCTGGAAGAAACCGTTGACTGCTCGCTTGCCCTAATGGTACAGTTAGTCCTCGACTTACAACAGTTAATTTAATGACTGTTCAAAGTTACATCATCACTGAAAAAGAGATTTATGATCCTTTTCCACACTTACAACCTTTGCAACGTCCCCTTGGTCCCCTGGTCAAAATGCAGGCGCTCAGCCATTGACTCGTACTTATGACAGCAGCTGCCGTGCCCCCAGGTCACCTGATCCCCTTTTGTGACCTTCAGAGAGCCAATGTCCATGGGGAAGAAGTCTGATTCACTTAATGACCGGCTTTACGAACTTATCAACTGCAGCGGTTCACTTAACAATTGTGGCTAAAAAGGTCGTAAAACGGGGCAAAACTCACTTAAAGAAATGTCTCACTTAACAAGAGAAATTTGGGGCTCCATTGGACTGCCTGAATTCCCCTGGACCCTTGGCGAAGGTGGTCCTTCGGGTGCCGCGGGGGCAGGGTCAGAGGGGGGGCTCCCTTGATGCCCAGTTGGACCCGGAGACCCCCAGAGGAGGCAGGCAAAGAAGCCCCCTCGAGGGGGAGGGGGCGAATGAACAGGGAGGGTCCCTCTCTCGGTGGGCTGGCAGGTCTCAGGCCCTTCCGGCAGGCGTCTGGGGCACTTTTGGGGCTGGGAAGGGAAGGGAGGAGGAGTTCAGGAGAGGAAGCGCAGAGGCCGGGCCTCAGGGGAACGGAGGGGATGGAGACGGGGGGGGGGGGGGGGGTGGATTTCGGGAAATGGGAGAGGAGGGAAGGGAGCGGAAGGTGTAAGTTCACCTGTGGACCAAAAGGCCACAAAGCCTGCCAGGAAGCGAGACTTCGGTCCCCCGGGCGGTTGTGGGTGCCTGAGAAAGGGGGAGGCCAGAGGTCAGGCGCTGGGAGCAGCGGAAGGTTCAAAACCTTCCCCAAACCTCCTTCACCCCGGGGGGGGCAGGGGGGGATTCAATTTTTTTAACAACCGGTTCTGTGGGCGTGGCTTAGTTGGTGGGCGTGGCTTGCTGATTATGTGACTGGGTGGGCGTGGCCTACTCGACGTCACTCACATCAAGGGGCACTTCTCCTCGCCCGGCCTCTCAGGACAGTGGGGATGCTGCAACGGTCGTAAGGGTGAAAAATGGTCATAAGTCACTTTTTTCGGTGCCATTGTAACTTTGAACGGTCACCAGTTTTAGACCAAAACTCAAAAAAGGGTATGTAAACTCACGTTCGAATGTCAATCTTTCTAGCTAGCCAAGAAGCCTTGCTGAATGTCCCTCATCTTGGTCCCTTGTCATTAAAAGCTTCTTTCTGGCAGCTCTGCTTCGTTATTCAATTATTTCTTCAAAGCGCTAACTCCAACTGGGGAGTATTTCCTCCCAACAGCAGTGTAGAAAGCTTAAAACAACCCTTCCCCTTTAAGAAAGTACCAGCAAAGGAGAAAAAAAAACCTCCTTCGGAGACAGTAAGTCTAGGCCGTCTGCCAAGAGTGCAAGAAGGGTGGAAAAAGACAAAAGGAGATTTCTTCCAACAAGCCGGTTCTGGCAAATAGGTGAGAACCTGTGGAATCCCACCCCGGGTGGGGGGAATCACTTCGCTAGGCGGGGAAGGCAGGGAGGAGGGGCCCTCGGTGACCGTCCGCTTAGAAAAACGCCCCACGAAGGAAGGGCAACCCTCACGTCCTGGGACGAAGGTGTAGGAGGATCCAGTCCGGCTGGGTCCCCAGGGCCACAGACTCTGGCGAGGGAGGATGGGATCCAGCCCCAGCCCAAAAGCTCGCAAGGCCAACGAGGGGCCAACGAGGCCTAGTGGTTAGGGCATTTCCTGAGAAATCCAAGCTCTGCTCCTCCCTCAGGACCGAAGCCGGCTGGGGGATTTCAGGCCAGTCCCTCCCTCTCCCCTCCTTAGGAAGGAGGGACAAAACACTCCCAAAAACGTCGCCCAGAAAGCTGCTGGACTTCTCTATGGAGCTGCCAAGTGTCGAGACTGTTCTGGAGGAACCCCGAACCCAAACCCAAACCCCAACGGGGGGGCTGGCCTTACCCCAAGGCAGAAGGGAATGACAGGAAGCCAACAGGGAAAAGGCCCCCAGCGGCACACGGGAAATGCACGCAGGCCGGAGAAGTCAAAGGCTCCGCCTCGTCTGGCTGGGGAATTCTGGGAGCTGAAGTCCACAAGTGGCCACGGTTGGACCTCCCCCCTCCCCCCCCCCCCCCCCCCCC